TTTTTAGTAGAGATGGGGTCTCTTGCTCAGGATGACCTAAAACTCCTGAGCTCAAGCAATCCACCCACCTTGGCCTCCCAGGGTTCCAGGATTACAGGTGTGAGCTACCCCACCCAGCCAGTTTGTCTGTTTATTATTATTTTCTTCAGAAAAATCCTTATTTCATCTTTATTTTGAGTGATTTTGGGGAGGGATAGATGTCTAGGTTATCAATGAAAACTCTTTGAGCACATTTAACATATAAGTGTTTCCTTGCTTATGTCTTTTGAAAAGTCAGTTATCAGTCTTTTTTTTTTTTTAAAGGAGTATATATTTTATCTTTCCCTGGTATCTATTGCAAATTTGATCTTCTTTCTAGGTAAGGTGTATCCCTCCAGGAGTCTCAAATAACACCTTAGGGTGTTGTCAGTTCCCTCCATCCTAAATGGCCTATTGAGCAAACTCTATCAAATCAGTGCTGCAAAGGGCTGAAATGTCTGCTCAGATCCTCAGCTTTCCTGGTTTGCTTTCTGCTTGATATTCTGGCAGCCCATGCTCAGTTTAGGAATAGTCAACTTTCTTAATGAGAAGTTGGTTACACATTAAATTTCAAGGTTCCCTTCTCCACGGTTTCTCACTGGGATCTTGGCTTCTTAAGTCTTCACTTCTCTGGCATCTTCGGCCTCCAATTCTCTATAGATGTATCCTGTCACATCACCAAAGGCTCCTGGACCCAGATTTTTGCTAGGCTTTATTTCTCATGTGTAATTTATGAGGATCAAAGGCTTCACTAGGGGAAATTACATTGAAACTGATACATAAAGAAAAATCAGAGTTAATTGTCCATTGAAAGCTGGAAATGTAACTGCAGAAACCTTGGTGGTGGGAGGGTGAAAAGTACAGCATATAACTACAAAGCAGGAATTTAGAAAATATCTGTTTGTTAAATATTAACTCTAATTAAATATATTTATTTAGTGTAATAACTGAGCTCCCAGCCCCCAACCGCCCAGGACTAGGCAACAAGCTTCTTCTACTTGTAAAAGGAATTGC